GCAAATGTCATTGTCATATACAGTCCTTAAAATTTATGGTACCATCTATAAAATTGCATTTTAGTATGAAGGCCTAAGGGAAAATGAATATGTCATCATAATGACACACCAACCGAATTTTTGAGGCATTCTAAAATAGATGTTTTCCTTGTCAGGCAAGACAGTGATTTACTTAATCTTTACTCCACATTATAAGCCACAGAAGATTATATTCAGCAGTAGCATTTAGTAAATCCCTCAAAATGCTTTTCATGCATTGGTGGAAAACCACTGGTTTATGTTTTTCCGGAGTTTCTTGTTAATTTTGAGTATTATCTTTGTATTCATAAATCTAATATTAGTATGTAGACTAATGTTTTCAGTTTCAGGAAAATTGAAATGTGTATTTGTACAGTCTGACATTAAACAACTCACAGACTTAGGTTAGGAGCCATGACTTAGGAAATATGGTTTGTTAGGTAATGCACAGAGAAAGGTAAGCTCCTCCACAGGATGCTTCAGAGCATGTGGCAAAATCCTGCCTCCACTGGCTGAACAGGGAATCTGAAGTTAGACAGCATATTCACAACCGTTTGCACATTTTTATTTATATGTATTTGTTCTCAATTCATTTTATCATAGAGAATTAGGGAGTTGAGTAATTGAATAACTTTTTAAGGTGGTTCTCAGCTAGTGTTGGCTTGAAAATTTAACCCCTATTTATCTAATTCTTGGGCTTTCCTCACCACTTGTTCTCAGAGAATCTGGGGCACTGAAGGGTGAATTAGAACAGTATCCCAACGTGTATAGTATTAACATGTGTAGTAAATTACATAGAGCATCCTGCTCTTTGCTTCTGCACTTCTGCTTTGCCACTGGGATCTCTTGTTTGCTTGACTGGGTTTTAGTACTATGTAATTTGGTCAGGGAGAAGATCCTTGTGATCTAGTAGCAATCAACTTCTAGGTACATTTTGCAGAACAAGGCAGCAGATAAGCTGTCAGGTGCCTTTGAAAACTTCAAATAATGTTGTGCCAGTATGAAGCTGCAATCATGTAGCATGTGACTACATTAATACTAGTTTAAGTACTGTAGATTAATTTATTTTCCTACCACTAGACTGTATTTCCAAATATTAACAGTGTTTTCTCATGTGTTTGGTGAGTCTTGAAATGAGGATGGCAGTCTTACACAGAAAGTCCAACATATAGTGTGCATAGCCCTGAAACACTGGGGGTTCCCTCTCTAATCAGTAAGAGAGAGCAAGTGCAGCTTTCAGTGGAGAAAGTTACAAAGTATGTAGTTGTTGGTTTGCTTATTATGGGCTTTTAATTCATACTCCTTCACTGCTGTTGTGGCTTACTGCCATATCCAGATGATTGATATTGCTATCTACCTCATCTGGGTTGCATACAGTCACATTTCAGGTAATAGAAAGCCTGGAAAGTACCACTCTTATGGCTATTATTACTATGACACTTTCAGCCAAGTGGAAAAATCAAAGTTGTAGAAATAGTGGTACTTTCTGGATGCTTAATTAAAGCCTTCCTTCTTCGTATTCTGGCCAGCAAAGATAGATGGTTATTAGTAGGCAACAGTTGTTTGGGTTTTTTTTGTTAATGTTGTTAATGATAGATAAGCTATGTATAATGTCACTAAATGTTCTACTTTGATATTCAAGAAGAGGGATCCTCATTTTGTTTGGACGTTGTATTAATAGGGAATAATGAAGCCGAATTCTGATTGACTTTTTGCAAGCTCGGGGTGGAAAGACATATGGCAAGCAAACATGTTTCAGTTTAGCTTTGTTTCTTTCAATATAGATACTAAAGATATTTCCTGTAAAGAATATTGGCATATCATAATTTTTACTCTCTGTTCTAAATCAAAATTTTAGAAAGCCTCTTTGTCTGAAAACAGACGATTATGATGAGCCTCTTTATAAAACACAGGAACACAACAGTATGTCTACTTTCTCTGTCTTTGTAAATACCTTGCAGAGTAGCATGTCCTGATATTTTGTTGACTTTTGAGGGGAAAAGTGTTTTTCACAGAGACTAGGAAAAAATACTGTGTTCACTATAATACCTCTCATGAGATTGCTGGTAAAACAACAAAGCTTTCTCAGGAACCTTTATCTGAAAAATAAATCTGTGCAGACAACTTATTTCAGCAGCAGATGTCCATTGCTAAGCTTTACAAATTAAGGGCAGATCTGTGGGGAATCCTTAGATCTCCAGTCTTCCACTTGTTGTAGTCAATAATTGTTTTGGACAATAAATTGTGCCTTTTATCTGTGTTTTTCAGTAGCTGAACATTGTTTCCTCTACTGAAAAAGAAATAATTTTGCACTTATTGAATCAATACTTTTCTCTGTTGAATGTCTGCTATTAACTTATCACAAATAACTGAATTTGTTAATTGCAAACACATTTGGAAATCTTACATATACTTATATAAACCTTAAATATAAATTTCTCTGTGATTTTTTGTTGGGATTTTTGTTTGGTGGTTTTGTGGGTTTTTTTTTCTTCTTTCTTTAACAAATTTTTCATGGATTGCTTTGCTCTACTCCCATAGCAAAGTGAACTAATGGAAGTATGAGATATTTTACTTTCTGGCAGAACTCCATATCAATTTTTACAGCCTTATGTATATGTGAAAATCCCCAAAGCATCTTAAATGTGAGTAGGAAAGAGTTTCTTTAAATGATGTTGTGCCCTTGATTCCCTCTTCCTCAGTTTTTTGGGGTTTTTTTTGTTTGCTTGTTTGGTTTTGGTTTTGGTTTGGTTTTTCGTTTGTTTGGTTTTTTTTTTGGTCTTACTGTAAGGAAAGCCTGAAAGCTCTTTATTGATAGAACTGTTTTTTAAGGACTTAGAAGATTCTTGGCTTGTTCCAGACTAGGAAATATCAATACATTTCTTGTTTTTCCTTTGCTTGAAGATATCAGGAGTGGGAACTTATTTGCATTGCTGTATCCGAGCCTATTAGAGACACCATGGGTGAAATCTCTCTGGAGGTCAGAGGTTTATAAGCTTTCTTTGTAGGATCTACAGTTTGGGTGCAAGTGTGCTTATTTTAGGTTGTCACCATTAGAAAAGCACTGATTTGGCATGGCTCAGAACTCTTTTTTTTGGCCCATGGGCAATAAGATCCTATCCTGTATTACTTCAGTCTTCTCTATCTGAAAAACTATTCCATTTGTTGCAATAACATTTTACAAAGCAAAATATAAAATGTAGAAAATGTAGATCTACACACTCAAATGACAACTCTGAAAATAGATTATTCATTAAGCTTTACTGAATATTTAAAAGAAAAAAGCAACTTGCTTCTAAGATACATTGTCAAGAGATCAGATTTAAAAAGCCCAAATATAAATCTTCTATAAATTCTGTTCTGATGATGTCTCAGCTGAAGCAATGTGCCCAATCTAGGGTACCACATTTTAACAAAATGTAGAAGAACAGAAAAGGTTCAAGGGAATGCAGGGGGGAAAAAAAGGAAAAAAGAAATAAAAAGGGGTTTGGAAAATGTGGCATTACAAGAAAACTTAAAACAGCTTGGTTTATTTAGTTCAGGACAGAGAAGAATGAACAGAGTCAAATAAGAATATGAAGTACTTAGCAGTTAAAAAAAAGGACAGACAGTAATTGATTGTTTTCAATGTCTGCTAGATTTAGATTAAAACTGAGATGCTTAATTTTATCTGTACATGAAAGGAACTGCAGATGCAGGAATGAGCTTTCATATTTAGGTTGCAATTATTACTAAGTAGATAAGAGCAGGGGTTACATGACTCCTGCCATATAGCCCATTACTCAGTTGAGGCCATTAGCTACAGAACTTGATCTTGGAAAACATCTGTTGGAAGGAGAGTAGAATGCCACGGCACAGCTTCTTTTGCACTTACTGGAGGCTGGTACTCAGCTACTGCCCTCAAGTCCTCTGCCCAATGGAATAAACTGGCAAGATTTTCACTAAAAGTTGAGGTTGCTAAGAAAAGCTCTTAGACTATAAGCATAGTTGATTTCTGCATTAGCTACCTAGACAGGTCTAACCCTGTCACAGCAGAGAGTTAGAAAACACGTTAGACATCTGTCAAAGACAGCCTTATATATATTTTATCTAGTCTTGGAAAACGTAGAGGGAGTTGCTGATCTCTGTTGGTTGCATTAAAATAATTTCTAAGAATTATTAAAAAAAAATACTTCTGCGCATTCAAAATATTCTTTCTGTTCTAAACTACTCAAGTGGTTTTGGCTGTGATTTCCTCTGATGGCAAAACTGCACTGCAGAAAGTTAGGGTGGACCCTTGAATGAATTCAGCTGAATGTTCTCTCTGTGAAAGGGAATGTGTAAACATGCACCTATATTATTCGCCTACTGAAGGGCAGCACTGTGATGGGAGCTGCATCTGCAGTCATGATATTTGCAAAATGGAACATTTGTGTGTGGATTTGGGAATAAGAAGCTTCAGAAATGTCTGTAGCAAGCATATATGCCAGCAGAATAATGGGTATTGTCTCCTCCTATATGCTGTATGTGCTCATTCAGTGCTCATGTCTGAAAGAGCATAGCATTTCTTCTTTCCTCAGCATTTTCTCAGCTCTCTTCTTTCTTCCCCATCAACTAATTTAAAAATTATATGTGATAGTTAACAAGGTACTTCCTATTTTGTAATTTACAGATGTAATGTTTAATTGCTGTCTTCTAGGGCAGACTGGATGGTCAAAAACATGTATTTGAAAGTGTTTTTAACACATTTAAGTTATCAGTATGGACTCTCCAGTTCTAAAATGGATTGTGAATTGTACTTCTGGATACATACCAGGTATTCTAAGATCTTAAAATATAGTGAATCTTTTGTAGCTATTTCGTATTTTTCAGGACAATAATGTCTTAAGATATATATTCCAAAGAATATACATATATATATATTAAAAAGAAAAAAAAAAAAGGATTCCAGCATTTTAACCGAAGTGAGGCTTTATTTTCAAGAAACCAAAGACAGAAGTAACTCAAGCCAAGGAACTATCAAATGGCTCTTTTTCCTCAGGAGTCCCATGTTGTCTGACCGGGGCCAAATGTTCTCTGTGGTATTTAGCAGTAATTGCAGCATAGGCACAACCATAAACAGCAGCTGCCAACATCATTAGACACACAATTCCACAGACAACTCCAGTTATTACTACAGTGGCAATTGCATGACGCAAACTAACAGGCTTTGGCTTTGGTTTGGGTTCACAGTTTGAACGGCTGTTTTCCCCATGCTCACTGTGATGAGGATGCTTCAGAGAACTTCTGTGCTCAGAGCTATGGTGGTGAATGCTAGGCAGATGAAAGTGAGCTGTCCTTAGAGGGCATGCCCCAAATAGCTCATAGGGAACTTTGAGGAGGTCCTTTCCCTTCCGAATCCCTGGCGCTGAGCAGATAATGCCATCACTTATTCCTCCTGAAAAAAAAACAACAAAAGCAAAAAAAGAAAAACAAGAAAACAACCCAACCAAAACCCAATTTATGGTTTTAAGATTTCATGGTTTCTGAATTATCTTCATGTAAAATTAACAGAAACCTGAAGTACGTTTCTCATTATCTTTGACTTTATCATTTTAAAGATTAATAGTTACATCTTTAAGAACTTTTTATAGTTAGATCAACGGTGAGATTATAACACTTTAACACTCATATAAGAGAGCATTTGTAAGAAGCAATTCATCAGGAATTAAGTTATCTATGACTTTACGGATGTAGAAGTAAAAACCAACAGTGTTAGAAAAGTAAGAACTAAGTCATAGGTGAAAATAAAGAGGTATTGTTAATAGCAAAGTCATTCAATTCAAATTCATACCGTTATTTCTTTATATATAAAGAAATGGAACTTAGTAAAGATTTCCCACTTGTTTGAAATACTCCATGAAATAGTTATTGTTCTGACATCATATGCTAACTGTAATGAAGCAAAGAGAAAGTTCAGTAAATTGTATGTATACATGAGCAATTTTTTGAGTCAAGGCTCATGGTAAGAAAATATATAGAGATCTAAAGGAGTTAGGATTAATCATTCTATTACCCTGCTCAAATGGTAAATTTCATGATTGCCTAGAGCCAGCGTCTGCTCTCTCCCAAAGGATGTTTTTAGTGTAACGGGAAGTCGAGTAGGAAGCCTCAGTCATGGTAAATCACGCAGTTGTTCCTCAGTGTGTAGAGGAACACACACTGAGCCTTCAGGTTTCTAATTAGTCCATACACGACAGCTTTAGGGGTGTAGTGTGTCAAGGAGTCAACAAGGCCAAAACCAGTGTTTACATATTTTTAAAATTTAACTAATCAGCTGAATTTTCTTCCGCTTCTCTGTCTAAAATAACCCACCTTTCAGCTACAGCCAGGCATAGAAATTTTCATCCTGAAAAGACTTTGTCTGAGAAAGTAGTAAATGGACCAAGCTGACATCTGGAGACTAATCCACAAATATTGATGATATTCCAAGGCAGATGCAAGCATAACAGCATGTCTCTTGGTGTCTAATAGCCAAACCCAAAGCATGGTTCAAGACACCTCCAATGGGTTAGTTTGAATGCAGATTTAAATAAATCCTGAAACTGTGATCCTTCTATGGTATTAAGTAACTAAATATGTGTGTTAGGAATAGAAGATTATAGAGTCCCACCTGGACCAAAGCATGCTCTATAAGTGGTTATGAGTATGCATCAAATGTCATTTGCCTGAGCTGGACTGACCTAAAAATACTGAAATCTTTTAGAGTTACATTGGACACAACCATCAATACCTTTACATTCAGACAATGTTTCATCTCTAGAAATGTTTTATTAGGACTTGCAGAAAATACCTGTAGAGCCACAGTACTATTTTGTCATATTTTATCATAACAAGTGATAATTTCTAGATGAAATGGAATCCTAAACTTTCTAAAGATAAATCAGTAGTGATATTAGTCTTGATGTTTACTCTTGTGCATTAGGTAAAAAGCTTTTAAGCAGTAGGTTGGTTTCTAGCAAAAATGTGTCAGTAGAATTAAAGCAAATGTATGTGCATAAGTATACTTGTTATATAATATATATATATGGATATGTATGCATACGCATGACACATATGTATTTCCAGAATGTATCTGTACATTCTATATGATTGTGTGTTCGTATACTTTCCCTCCTTGTGCTAATATGCATAAGATCAGTTAGAGTCTGGTTAAGTGTTTTCATGTGCATTGTATGTAATGAGAAGAATTCCTTACCTCTGTATAAAAAGCTCTCCAGCCACAGTTTCAGGCCAAAGACATTGCAATTACATTGCCAGGGATTATCTTTGAAAAGAACTACTTTCAGGTTTGGAAGTGATTCCAGTAGAACTCTTTCCATTTTCTGAAGTTTGTTATGCTTCACAGACAGCAAAGTTATATTCCCTGTGCTGTTTCCAAAAGTCTCAGGCAAACGTATAATGCTGTTAGATGACAAGTCCAGTTCTTTTAGGTGTGGGAGGAAACTGAAAGTTTTGTTTTCTATGTAGTGAATCATATTTCTAGTTAGGTTTAGAACCTGCAGATACCGTAACTTTTGGAAAGCACCTGGTACCAAACTTGAGAGGGAATTGTTAGACAAGTCTAAGATTTTGAGCAGTGGTGTTCCAGTGAATGCATTTTGGTTGAGTCTCCAAATGCGATTATTCTGCAACTGTAGTATCTGAATTTCGGGAGGTAGATGGGCAGGAATTTCAGTAAATCCTCTATTCTTGCAGTCTGCAGTCTTTGAAGCTGTATGGCATAGGCATTTGTCAGGACATCCATGAGCTCTGTGTATTAACAAGATGACACTCAGAAGCAAAAGCCATATACCTGTATCACAAATTAAAGAAGATTTAAAATGAGTTGAAAATGTTTTGTCTTTTAGCAATATACACGTCATTAACATGGGCAAAGCGTATGCAGCTTAATCATAAACATAGATAGCATAGAATTCATTTATTTTACAATACATTCATTAATTACAGATATTATTGAAGTACTTTTATAATGCAGAATAAAATTAGTGCCGCCATGTTCTTAAAATGAAGAACTTCCCATGGCTTAATATCCTAAGTACAGATTTTTCAGGAGGACTTGCCACCAGCAGAGCAGTGATGCTTGAAGGTAATGCAGTAGATTTTTGAAAGTTATTAAATTGGAATGTTTATCTTTCTGTGATAGTTACAAGTTTAAGCTGTCTTGTGTCAGAAGAATTGCAAGTAGAAGTTTTATTGTTCTGTGTTTTTACTAACTGTACTAACTAAAAAGAATTAAGTCAATGTGCCATCAAAAGAATAACAAGCTTCAAAGACATTGCTATAAAATGAGTTAACAGTGTTGTTTCAGCAATCCAGATTCTGTAAGTTTGTTCTTTAAAGTATCTATATTTATACTTATTAATTCCCTTATCTGAATGCCAGTTGTACTTCCCGTAGATACAATTTTTTATACAACCAGCAATCAGTTGTTAAGAAGCCATTAAAAAGACAAATGAGTGGAGAGAAGTAATTAGTGATAGTTAGCAATTATAATCATCTTCTGCTCCCTGATGTTCAGGTCAGTTTTAACTGAAAAAATAGTATTTTTTACCTTTCATAAGTTGCTAATGATCTTATTTTAAAAACAAGGTGCCACTTAAAGCAATGTGCATATGCACAGCATGAAATTAGAAAAAAAATTATCAGATGATGTAAAATAATTAGTTTTTCTGTGACTAAGAAAGTCAGAATGATAAATCCATTTGTAACATTGTTTTTAAGATGCCTTAAATGATTTTTAACATTTACTCAAATGGTAAAAATGATTATTATTTCAAAATTAAGAATATTTTAATTAGTAACTACTTGCAAACTTTGGAAATAAAAGGACATACTGCTTATTGACTTACAGAAATCAAACATTAATTAGTAATACAAATATATTAAATAACTACGTGATTACGACATTGAATATAACAAATGTATAAATGAAAGTTTTTGAGACTACAGCTTAAGTAACAACCTACTTATTAATTTTCACTCAAAAATGAAGTATTTATATTAACATTCTACATAATCTTCTGCCATACTGAATTCTACACTGTAGAATTCACTTGAAAGAATTCAGCGTTTTTGCAAGTAAGATAAGCAATACTTCTAGTTCGTTACATTGTTCTGCAACAGTTGGCTTCAGAAACTGAGACAGCTTCAATGTAGAGTTAAAATAAACTCTGCTTGGCAAGGAAAAGCTTAAAGAACAGGAAAATTTCATTATTAATATGAGTGCTTTCAATATCTCACCTTTCATTCTGCTTTGCTTGTTCTTCACCTTGCAGAAAGTTCAGTCCGGTTTTCTGATGTAGAACAGTAGCAAACACTTTGTTCTGATTCCCACTTCAGACCTGTAATGTGCTCATCCAGTTTCCTTTCTGTGGCTATTTTTCTTTTTTTCATATATATGGGATCTGTGGCTTGTGAGAGGTGCAACAATTTCTACTGAGTTACTCCATCAGCCTTTGATTTTTTCTTTGTCATCATCATTCCCCCTTAAACCCCCTTCTGTCCATTTATGGCTCTCAGACTTACTCTGCCTTCTAATCATTCAACAGGCCGTGCAAAGAATGCCTGTCAACTCTAACTGGACAGCTGTAACATACGAATAATGACCTGAGAGCCTTGCATTTTTGATTTATTTAATCTGCCTCAAAAGCAAGCCAACAAGAATAAAGCTGCCTTTCTAAATCCAGTATAGTTTCTGAATTATGGCGGATTATTAGCTATGCTGTGTCAATTTTTGCTAGATCAGATGACTCTGAACGTGGATTCTCATTATCCTGGGCTGTGACTGGAGGCAGTGGAGTGTATAATATCACTACAGATAGGTCTGTGGCTTGATGACATGGTTTTGACAGTGCACTTGTTTGCTCTTCTAAGCTTATTCATCTGACATCCATTAGTTTTGCTGACAGGATTTTCTTGCATGGAAACACAGGGCTGGTGGCTTCTTCCATGAAAATGGCATACATACTGGTATGGTCACCAGGAATACTGAACAAATTAATTTACTTTCGAAGATATTGGAAAGAAATGGCAGATGATATTAAAATTGTACTTCATGTGTTCGTCTGGTGCCTTGACTTGTTTCTGCTACTTCTGCAGTATAACTCATTCATATTGTACTATCTACAACAATAAAAACATTAATGACTTATGCTATAAAGGAACTCTAAGGTATTTAAATGAAGAAGAGATCTGGTATATTGTTGTCTTTCATGGTCATATGATTTACTTCACCTATTAGCTATCTTATGGAGAGAGAAGCTGTGCAGTCAAAAGCTTTCAGGCCTGTTCTTATAGGTAACACAGCTTTCTTGGGTGCAAATTCTGCTTTTAGGTTCTTTCAAAAAGATCACACAAAGCTCACTTTCTAGGGCATAATTTATTTTCTATAGGCAAAGCTATGGAAGGAGTCATAGAAAATTGACATCAAGAGGGTCCACACTGCTGTTGAAAGCAGGATCTTACAAGAGGTTATCCAGGGTCCTTCAAACTGAGACTTGGATATTTCCAGCAAGGGATATTCCATCACTTGTCTGGGCAACCTACTGCAACGTCTAACTGTTCTCAGCATTAGTAATTTTGTCTTGCATCCAGACTGATTTTCCTTGGAGCAGCTTGTGTCCATCACCTCTTGTCCTGTCACCATACATCCTCATGAAGAAAGTAGCCCCATCTTCTCCAAAGCTACCTTTTGGTTACTGAAAATCTGTGTTTAGGTCTCTGCCACCCTCACCCACAGGAGAGAGCTGTAACTCTTGTTATTGTATGATATGCTGAATTATTTCTGACACCAGTCAAGATACCCAAAGGAACAGTGAATACTGCTGAGCAGTGAGTGAGAATGTAGAACAACTGTCATTCTGTAAACATGACTGTTCATCTCAAGGATATTAGGATTATTGCTAGAAATGGCAGATCATACTATCCTTGACACTCTTGAATGACCCATCATCCTGGTACAGGATAAAAGTCTGCAATTTAGTCTTGAAGAATAGTGTAGATGTACATTGCCTGATATCATAGTCATATTGAGTAACTCCAACTTTTCAAAGGAAGAGGGAGATAAGCTTACAGATCAGCTGTAATATACTTTAAATGATTGTCAGTTTAAAGTGAAAACATTCTCTAACCTTTATTGCACAATGCATTTACTTGCTATTTCCTTTCCTAACCCATATATGTGCACATATATAGAAACATATAAATAGACCTATCTTAAATAGTGAATCATTTTAATGGAGATAGAACTAAATCTGAAAAGGGCTATTATAAAACATCATTTTCCTTAGAAGGTGTATTCTTGCTATCTGCAGGTTCTCTGCTCTTTCACAGAACAGATTTAGGTCAGGTACTTGTTGCTTGAATGATATTCCTCTGTCCTTGCAATAACTTACCACTTGCAGCAATGACAGCCCTTTTGATGACTTCTGATTATATTGCAGGAGGTACTAGGTATTATGTTATTATTTTCTGGTATGGTAAGATTTTTTCACACTTTCAATTCTCTTTGGTATCTAAAATTTTATTTTGGCTTACAAATTCTAAGGGTTTCTTTTTTAAGTTGTTTTTCCTTTTTAACTAATGTTTGCTGACCAGGTGGGCTTACAAGCTCGCACAACAGTCATCTAACGAAGGGCTTAAAGTACGTTTTTTAACTGCCTCTCTTATTTTAGGTAAGTCTTTACTACTATAATTGTATTATTTTTAGCACATGCCATATTAAAGAGATGTTCATAGGATAAGGTCACTGAAAGTTAAGCACTGTGGGCGGTTCAGTTCCAACAATAATGCAGAGGTTGGTTTATGTACTCAAAATTGTGGTATAAGAAGTTATTACTCTTTTTTAAATCTTCATGCTGAGTTCAGATTTGGAAACATATGATTAAATCTGTTGATTTGCTTTTCATGTAGATGTGGCTATTTTTTCCTTATATCGAGAACTCAGAATGCATACATTTTGTAAACAGAAGTTTCCCCAACCTATAATCCATGTCCTATTCCCATTTATTAGTAATAATACTTTGGTTATAACAGAGAAGTCTGATGTGGTGAAAATTACAGTTGTTACACAGGTAGAGATTTGCCAGAAACAGAATAACCATGAAATCTACTCTACTTCTGGCCTTTTGAACAACCAGTAGGATTCTTTTCAGTTGTCTGATGTGGTGCAGCAACTGTGTTATTGTGACTGCTTAAATTAACTTGTGCCTTGCTGTAACAAGGTATGTTTCCCATTGCAAGTAGCAAGACAACCCAATGAACTAATATCCTATCCCTGTTGGCTGGTGGGAGCAGTTCAGTGTTTGCTATGCCAGCAAACACTGTTGCAGCAGTTACTGCCATCTGCTTTAAAGGATTAGTATGTGTAAGAATAATGTCTTTTATGAAAGAAAGATCATTACGTTAATTAAACTCTGTCAGAATGAAAACAGTTCAAATGTTTCAAATATTTAAAAGCTACAGCATTTGGATTCCACTGCATTGTATATTGAGAGCAGGCAGGCATGGCTATATTAAAAAATGTCGCTAAGACCACAACAGAAAACTCCTATACATTCTATCTATTAGATTTATTTTCCTTATGATTTTGAGTGAGAAGGTATTAAAACTGCAACACTTACAAGAAAATGGCATATGCTTTCTCCTTGTTTGTGTATGTCTCCAGACTGGTAAAAGAGCTAAGCTCTTGCTGAAGACCTTAAATGGAACTCTGGGCAATACAGACTACTCGGGTCTTTTTTCTTTTTTTTTTTCTTTTGATTCAGGACAAGAAATAATTCATATTTGTTAATG